TCGATGGGCAAAATATGCAACCTGCAATGTATGCAATGGATCTGTCTGACAATAGGGGTAACCCATTCCAACCACTGGTTCCTCATCTTTCTCCGCAAATGGCCGTTCGTGAGCTTTCGCCCAATTTTGCCAGCAAAAAGCCACCAAAAATCCTATGAAAATCCCACCAAAAATCCCGCCTCAATCGGAATGGGTTGGCCAGGTAGGTGCCCACCAGGCCTGCACCCAAGCCGCCCAGAAGCCAGGCCTCAGGTCAAGATGGGCCATGTTTTGAGTGTTGAAATCGATGATTCGTCAACTTCATCTCCGATCTTCGCTGCTAATAAACACTAGTAAACAGATATACATTATATATCTATAAAACTGTATGTATATATATATATATATTCAATATGATCATTTATGGCAAGAAAATGGCAACCAGCAACTAGCTTTCCGGAGGAGATGGAGATGCCTAAGACTTGAGCCCACCAAGGTCCACCGGTTGAGGGAGGCTCCAAAGGCAATGGATAGCCCTGCGGAAAGCCATCTGGAACGGGTAAAAGTCACTGGTTCCAAGATGTTTCTTGAGAAAAATCATCCAAAACAGTGATGCATTGATCTTGCTTGTACATGTAACTACATGTAACATCATATGACTAAATATGTAATTATATATAATTATATAATTATATTATATATATATATATTGTATCCATGCACATGTTTCACATTCATGTGTTTGTGCCACGTACCTTACAACTTGACGTTTGCATTTGCCAATTTCAGCACCATCCCAGCGCGCCGGGTACATCATCGGTGGCATGGGTGGAGGGGGCGGAGCATAAGGTGATGCCTGCGTGGAAACCACAACTGCCACCCTGTGACAAAAAATAGAAAAGTGATGAAAAGTGATTAGTAAGTCCCGCACAATGCAAGCAACTCGTGATTTATCACTATTTTGGCAGGAGTTTACCGTTCTATCTTTTTGCGGCTCAAAATAGATAATAAACACACATAACAACCCTGGAGTAATAATGTTTGATAAACCCCTAACTGGACTGCGCAAATTATCAATCTTTTTGGTGACTGTTTAATATATCAAAATAGTGACTTATTACTTATTATGGTTTATTGGTACAGGGTCAACATCTTTATTATACAAACCCATCATGGGTCAAACTGAATGGACCACTTTGAATCTCAGAGGTGCAAATGCGACATTCAAAATTCAATCTTCTCAGGTTGGCAACTTATGGCAACTAAAAACATCTAAGAACCACTTTGCAAAGGCCAAGAGTTCGCGCCCAAACTGGCGGTCGCCTGGTAGCTTCCAGGGTAAGGAGGGGCCTCGAAACACAGCCATGAGGCCAAACAAAGTGCAGGCTGAGGTCAGCTAAATCATCGTGCCCCAACATCTATCAGCGCACATTCTGAGCCCCTGGCTTGATACCCAGGACTTGTGCTTGGATAGGAGGGTGTGACAGGCGTGACCTAGCCATTTCCGATACTGTCGCCAGTGAAAGACGGCAGCACTAGTTGCAAATATTCCGACATGGTAACCTGCCCGATATGATGGGAAGATTGGGCACCCTCAATCCCAGGCACTTGGTTCATCTGTGGGGGATCTTCGATTTGAACATCTGTCGTGGTTACATGTGTTTATACCATTGTTTACCCATCCATTTCGTCCGTTCGGTGGCCAATTCCAGCGAGATTTGGAATTTCACCATGCGGTCGGGTCAATTTCAACCCCAAAACATATGGGCCCCAGATGGGTACGTGTGGTATGGGTCAATTTGAAAATTGGAGTGCTATCCACATCGTGGCATAGATAGGTACGGATCAGAATTAGGGTACCAATGGACCCACAAATTAGTACTAAACAGGCCATCCATGGGGAGGTTGATGGTTTTGATCTGTTTGACCCACAAATTGATGATGCTCAACATGATCAATCCCATGTTCTGGCTAGCTTTGACGAAATCTTTTGAACATATGTGACCCCACAAAAACATGTTTGAAAATATAATCCAAACACTCTATAATTATCATGTTCTCATCGTTTCCCTATGAAACGGCCATTCATTTTGTTAGGCGAAGGAAAATTATCATGAAAATATATGAAAATGATATGCCCATTTGGTTTGTTTGAAAATAGTGCACCCCCAAATCCATTGGTTGATCCTCATTCTTCTCATTAAATTAAATGGCTATAATTGAGGGGAAAGTATGTGCTATCCACATCCGAGGTTTCACTCCAAACACATCACAGGAACAAGGAAAAAACATTCTTAGGTGAACAAAAACCTTGCTCACAAAGGGGAGTCAAGACATGGCCTGACCCACAAATGCCCCATGCACAACGCGAAATGTCGGGATGTCAGGCTCCCCCGCAGGGCGTGGCGGCGTCGGCGGCGTCGGCCGCACTGGCGCTGCCGGCGCCGTGGGCCCTGTGGGCCCTGTGGGGCCGATGGGCGGCTGCGGCCCGGGCGGCATGCCCTGCGACCCAGGGCGACCTGGCGGGAAAATCATGGGAAATGATGGGAACATATGATGAAATCCATGGGAAATTGCCAGAACTCATAGGAAATCGCCAAGATTTCTGGAGATGAGCTTCATCGTTCAAAATAATTACTTCTGTTGATTTGAATGGAGTTGCCAGTACTGTAGGAAGTAAAGCCACGACAACAGCAAAAACCACCAAACATAACCACACAATGCATCACCCGTGTCGCTCTAATTATTTTGAAAATCAGCAGCCACGCCACTACGGTTATAAGAGTGAATTCTATTGATACGATCGACAAAAAGTCTTGGGTTCTATACAATCATGAATGGGTTCAGCCACTACTCCCTTGGCTTGTTCACATCTTCAAGCTACGTTGTTTCTTGTGTTTCAGAATTGCAGGAACAGCATGCAGGAGGTTGGTTGAAAGTCGTTGAACTGCACGATTAGCCATGATCACTTGCAGGCTCGTTTTTTCCTACCTGACTTGCAGCATGACTTTTCTTACTTGGTAGATTCAAACCAGGGAGGAGTCATTCGCTGTGCCTTTAGAGTCATCCATTCGTCGGTAGGCCTCGCCAGTGATTGCACAATGTGGAGCTGCCCTGAACTCCAAGATGGAAAACTCCAGAAACTCATGGACTCTTCATACTGCCAACAATTCTGGTACAGCATCTGATGCCTCACCACCCTCACGTTTGGCACTGGGGATTTGATGTCTCCAAGTCCAAAATTAGAAACCATTTTTTTGAACTTTGGTGGGTTGCCCAAACCCAGGGATGGCTCACCAATCAACATATCCAAGTCAGTCTACAAACGAAACCAAAAAGGTAACATGGTGCCCATCTCCATGGCCTCTTGGATCTGCTCCTGTGTGAGGCCCTTCTCCAACTCGGCGGCGAAGCTTTGGGTCGCTGAAACCCCGGCCCAATGTCCACGGCTAACTTCGAAATGGTCAGAACCCAGATCTGCTCTAGAATTATGTTAATATATTGTTACTGTTGCTATGTATATCTGTGCAAATGACATGACATGTATATATACTGATATACAGATATGTACAATGTATGTAATTATAATATGATATAATATGTACATTTCAGATAGAACATGTATGGACAATCTTGTATGGAAAAGAAACCCAGGGTTATTTAGAACTTGCTCTGGATGTTTGCCACGTTGCAACGGGCTCCGGTGTTTTTTCCACTGAGCTATCTGACCAGAAACTGCTCCTTCTCCTGTGTTGATCGGCCCTCAGCTCCGGTCCAATGTTACACCAATTCTAAGCAGTTCGTGATCACTTGGAAGTTCTGTTGGAATATAGAATTGTTCATCAGAATGAGGTGAACACCATCATGCCAGCTATTGAAGTTCCTATGCAGTTATTTTTTTTCAGTGGATTCAACACCAAGGCATTGCGGAATCGAAGTCCTGAGCTCGAGAGTTGTTTTACTGCTACTTGTTGCAAAGGAATGAAGAGATTGTCTTCAATCACTGGATCCTCCCGTATCTTGATTTATGTGCTGCCTTGGTTGAGAGAATTTCAGTTTACGAAAAGGCACTTGAATCATCTTAAATCTATTGCTGAGGCAGTTGACTCTTGGCAGCTGCAAGAATCCTGGTGTAACTGCATCTGAAATCTCAGCTGCCGGCTGTTGCACTACTCAGGAATGACACAGCTTTGGCAATCAGTTCCTTTGACAGGCTAACCCAAGAAACTGGCCAACTCTGAGTATCTTGTGAGGAACAGGGAATCATGATAATTGTTCTTCAGCAAACTTCAATTCGGGTTAAATTTGTATTTTCTGTAACCTATTGAATCAAAAACTGTTTGTTCAAATCTTTGTCATGCAATCCTAAGCTAATGATCAGAAAAATACTTCTGACAACAGTGGGGAGGACGACGAAGTCTAATAATTTTCTGTCTCCTGTAGCGGTGCAATACTTTCCCAGTGAGTATCCGGATTATCCAGTGCATCAGTGTTCCTTTTCTATTTTGCTGATTTTGGAAATCAACCGCCCTCCTTGCCTCGCTGCTATCTGCCTGCGGTGGGGGTAAGAACTTGAGAACTGTACCAGAAGATTGCACATCTGCAGTTCCTGATTGAAACCCCATAGTCGGCGAGGGCCCAAATAACATGCTAAGCGATCGCGCAAAAACTAAGACAAAATGGACCAACCAAGTATGGCAAACCTGATTCCACAACATGTCTGCGGTAGCATGGCCCTTTTGATCTTTGGCATACGCTTTTGACCCTGGCCCTCTTTGGCATGCTTTGTGGAAAATTCTTTGGTGAAACTGACACCACAAACAGCTGGTCTTGACATGATGAGGTCTGATCTCTTGAACCAGTCTTCCATATTTTGAATTAACTCTAAGCACAAAGCAGCCTCAGCATCACTCTCAACATGGCCCAAAACTGCCAAGTCTAAGCAATCACTGCGGTGGAAGGAATGACAGTTGAACGAGGTGCAACAACGAATCATTGCGTAGTTTAAAACAATTTGATTCCTTTGATGTTTCCTTTCACCTGAAGTCAGCTGGATTTCGCTGACGCCCTCTATTGCAAACTGGAGGTCACATCCATGAGCTCTTGCATCAGGTTTGCCAGATCTTCCTTGGCCAAAGATTCTTGGCGGCCAATGGGCCAAGGTTGATGACAGAAACACTGCAACTATAATGGTTCATATATGTATATATATATATATATTTAATATATATATACATATTTAATATATATATATATTAGTTTATTTAACCAGTAAAATATGAATCAAATAGTATAGCAAAACATCAAATCTACTCGGGGATAAGTCAAATGATCAAATCATAAACCATGTTTTTCACCAGTTGCACCTCAAAGCTTGCGATTTTCCTCATTGACCCACCTTGTAGGAACCTATCTCTACGAGAACCAGGGAGTAAGCAGCGCACTTAATCGGACATTGTTGGTGGGCTTAATGTGTGAATGGGACTGGATCTACAATTACACCGGCAAGAGACCCCAAAAGAGTGGGACCAGATGCAAGCAACAGTAGCCATGGAACAGTAGCAGATCAGGTTAAGCATTGTCGCAACTGCAGCAGCAGGACCTGCTATATAGATCTATAATGATCTATGTAGTTTGCAGAAGAGTTCACAAGATCTTCATACAAGAACTTCCTATGAGTTATGAGCATCCCAGAAGAACTTCAGGCAAACATCAATGCAAAGGAGTTCCAAGATCTTAATGCAAGCACCTCTTGAGGTCTCACAAGGACTTGTACGAGACCATGTAAGGACACCTAGAGGATTTCACCAGGACCTCTTCAAGAGCTTCTCACAAGGAGCTGTACAAGATCAGGCAAAGGCCCCTGACAGCATGTCACTAGGATTCTCACCAGGACGTGTAAAAGACCTTGACATGACCTTGACCAAGGTCTTCATGCCAGGCCCCCTAAGAGAAGCTCACAAGACCGTCAAAGAAGGACCTGCTTCTTCTAGAGCGGATCTTACAAGATCTTGATGCAAGAATCTCCCAAGAGCCTCCCACAAGAGCTTTATCTTTCATACAAACACCTCTAATACATGGCATCTGTAAGATCTTCATGCAAGGGCCTCTTAGAGAAGATCTCACCAGGATCTCCACAAGATCTTCTGTTAAGGACTTGTACAGGATCACGCAAGGACCTCTTAGAAGATGCCAGCAGGATTTTCACAAGATATTCTCATAAGGGCATGTGCAAGATCCTGCCAGGACCCACTAGAGGTTGTCAGCAGGATCTTCACAAGAGCTTCTCTTACGGACCTGTGCGAGGGCATGTAAGGACCTCTGACAGGATTTCATCAGGATCTTCACAATATCTTCGCACAAGGACCTCTACAAGGCCTTGGTTGAGATCTTCGTATATTACGGACCTCTAAGACTCCACCATGAAACTCTTGCAAGATCGTCTAAGACTTGCACTGTCGCAATGCGCATAGACATCATCTTACAAGCGTAATTTTATGCGAGACTTGACAAAGAAAAAAGGCCGCGCCCCAGAACTTAGGCGCACGCTTTGTGCGAGCCTGGGAAATCGAAACGCACATGGGCGTCTGACAAGAGCAATTTTACGCAAGAATTTAAAGGAAAAGAGCCGCGCCCCAAAACCTAATGAACCTAGGCCTACGTTTTGTGCGAGCCTGTGCAGTCGAAATGCACGCGGACATCTCGCAATTTTTTGCAAGACTTTACAGGAAAAATGCTGCGCCCCAGAACCTAGGCCAACGTTTTGTGCGAGCCTGTGCAGTTGAAATGCACATGGACATCTCACAAGAGCAATTGTATGCGAGAATTTACAGGAAAAAGGCCGGAGATCAGAGAGCGTACCCTGATCTACAGTAACCCCGGCGTCAACACTTACCGTAAGAACCCCTCAGTCTGGACACACTGTTTTTGGGAAAAAACATGAAAAAACATGATGAGGAAAATTTGAGGCGGCATGTTCTTCCCTGCATTTCAGAGAGTCAAATAGTCTTATGGCATCTCAACTGTATCCGCCAGGGACTGCTGCACCATGCTACACCCCAAACCCACCACAGCTCTTCTCTTCGAGTGTCGCTGCATTTTGCAAAATCTGGACTGTTCTGCAACTGCAACTCGTTTATGGAAATGGCCTGCAATCTGTATTGCAGGCTATGTCACTCATGTACAAGATGAGGCCATGATGACCTCAGCCAATGAACAATTCCCCAATGTTGAATAATTAACATAGTGTTCTGTAAATACCCTCTGGTCATGTAACATAGCTATGGAAAATCATCGTGTTTGAAATGTTTAATAGGTACATCATTTATACCTGGGCCATGTTCATCCATTTTCCATAGCTATATTCAATTACCAATTGTAAGCGGGTTGTCCATTCTAAGCTCTACCACAGGCGACCAGAGAGGCCTCCTCCACATCCTCCGGGTGCAGATCCAAATTCGACACCTCCAAATAACTCAAGAGCTCCGCAGTGGCTTCCAGCAACTGGCAAAGCCATGGAGCAAGTCGTTTTTGAGGTCTCCAAACATATCCAAACATGTAGTAGTGTCTCTGAAAATGAGGACCCCCCAATAAGCCATTTTCATGGGGGAAACTTATGACATCTTATGACAATCGGAATTTGACACGATTTTCAGACAAACCCCAATTGGGAACCATCCAAGTTAGGTGGTGAATATCCACTGAACAGCCAGCCAAAATTTGGTATGAAAGGCCTACGTATGGGTCTGTCACAAGATTGGGACACCCCCATAAATTGCAATTCTAATGGGAAGTCTGATGATTGATCATGAGATTTAAGGGGGTCATGTTTCACAAATGATAATGGGATATAATGGGATAATTCATGAGATCCATGTTGCGATATGTTGCGCCTGAAGGTCCAGCAGATGCAGCTCCTGGGGAGTCATCTGTCGAAGCTCTTTCAACATCTTCTGGATCACCAGAACCATGGCCTCTGCAGGACACTTCCACATCTTCCACGATTGAAATGGACATAAATTGACCAAGTAAAAAAGGTGGACACATGTGGTGGTTTCCATAAATGGTGGTACCCCAAAATAAATGAATGGTTTGCAATGGAAAACCCTTGTCAAATGGATGATTTAGGGGTACCCCAATTTCAGGAAACCTCCATGTGGAAAATGGTGAAAACCTGACAATTTTCATGGGGCCAAAAACGCATCCCAAGTTCTGGACACTCTCAGTATATCCGATATTTTTTTTGCGAAACTTTGTCACAAAGGCTGCTGTGATGGAGCTCAAAGTGCTCTGCCTGCCTCATGACTTTGCACAATCCTGGGTGCGCGGATGGCTTACCGTCTTGCTTTCCTGTCTGTCCGCGCAGAACTATAGTAACTATACGATACTATACGTATATCTGGGGCTCAACCTTCCGAATCAAACAATAACGCTGTACCCTGCTTCAGTATCCAAAAGCTCGTGGGAATTCCAATATATCGGGTGAAACAACATAAAGCAAGTGCACAGGAGTTGGTGTCCAACAGTCGCACTAGCTTGAGTCTCAAACAACGTCCATCTTCATGATGAGAAAATAATGTAGGTACCCCGAAGCAAAGTGGGCAAAAGGTGCCCCTGCCATTGCCATATTAACATGATAATTATCTGTCACCAAAGGTTTGACATCCCATCTTTAAAATCGGTAGGTCCCAGGAAAAAAGAATCGCTAGCAAAACTCACATGTCTTGTCGCGTTTTTTGATTCTTTCGGTTCCGGAAAAAACAACAACATAACAAACAATCAGAAACATGATCGTTATTCATCTTCCATGCTGACCTTGGCTCTTTAGCCAAACCTATTGTAGAAACTTCTGACCATTGTAAGTTCACTAAAAAATATTGGGCAAACATATTCACCATCCCCAAAGGATTGTAGATTGTAGATGAGTGTAGATTATTGTAGATTTACTATGGTTTACTGTAGATTCACTTTAAATAGATGATTTACTATGGTTTACTATGGTTTACTATGGTTTACTATTGATGGTTTACTGTCATCACATGTCATCACCATTTTCATGGCCGTCCAAGGTACTGCTGAACGCTCATTCGTCGCGCACGGGACCGGTCTCCTCGTCCTGACGCGGTGAGCTTCGGACCCTCATGGGATGTAATGTGATGTAATATGGATAGGGATTTGATGGGGATTTGATGGGGATCTCATGAGGATATTTATTGTAGTGTGATATATCATACTACAATATAGATAGATAATTAGATGATAGTAGATCATAATCGCTTATCATCTCATTTTAACGATAGTACTAATATATATATATATATAAATAGTAATCATCCTTTGTAGCTTCAAGCGCCAGATGTGACAATTCCCGACCTGGGCAGTCCTGGAGGATGCATCATTCGCTGCACACCCTGGACGACATCGAAATCATCCTGCAGGGATGTCATCTGTCAGATCTCCCAAGTATCAGATCACCAACTAAGTGGGATGTAGTGGGTCAACATGCCAGTGGTCCCAGTGGTCTAGATTGGCAATGTCTTTTTCAATGACAAAAAAATGCGGGAAATGAACAGAAATGAAAAGGAATGCTAGTGGGTACCTAGTCTGGGATGTCTGGGAATGTCTGAACCAACTTTTGGGAGTCCCAACTTGGGATCTCAATTTGAACGAGCTTAAGGTTTGCTCTTTGAAAATGGCAAGTGTTGATCAAACATTCACAACATGCCACGTCGTAAATGAACTCAAAAGAGTGGTTTTATGGCTTTGCACCTCTTCATTGCAAGATATCACAAGTATCAAAGAGTTGAATTGACATCTAAGCTTGTAGGTAGCAGGATCATTCGTTCAAAAAAATCACATTGTAGAGACATGAACAACAGGGCACTGAACCACTGCCGCTCCTAGTACTGAAGATTGGACTCCATTGAGCTTTGAAATCATGCTGATCATTGCTGACCCTAGATTGATCAATTAGAACGAACGGTCCCTTATGAATCTTCTGAACCAAGAACAAGTACCCTCTGGTAAACTAACATAGCTATGGAACTCACCATCTTTAATAGGTAAATCAACTATTTCTATGGGCCATTTTCAATAGCGAACTGTAACAAATTACCAGAGGGTAGTAATATCAATATCCATAGGATTCCGTCAATGCAAAGGTCCCCGTAGCATCGCCGACATCGCCTGAAAGCTCCCCAAGAGCTGGTGAAAGGAATCCGTTGTCAGACCATAGTCCTGCGAAGAGTTCTTTTCACCGCCGATTTTGATGTCCTGATTCAACTTATTTCTGGGATAATGTAGGAAAATGTGCGTAAAACAATGTCATAAACCAACGGTTGATGCTTATTAATCATGATTAAATGGTTATTACAAATAATGATTACTATGGGTAAAACAGCTTCATAAACCACCCGTTTGGAAATGGTTTATACCACCTGTTTATGGCGATTTCGGGGATGGTTTCTTATTGTTTTACCCACATTACATATATATGTTCACTACACATTCCAGCTGACAGTTCTCAGAGTATCCATCCAACAGAGATCAACGGCTCAATGTTGAAACTACCCAACGACATATGCACCGTCGTACGTGCAACCTTCCTAGCTTCGGTGCTAAGTTCACACTGGATTGAGTGGTGATCGGTTATTCGGGGATTCGTCATTCTCAGTTGTCAAGATACTTCAAGATACGTCTCTAAAATAAAGCTGGAGGAGCTTGACCTTGCAATACATGGTGATTTGCGTGTGCAGTCCAAGCATATAGCGCTTGTATGCGCTTGCCATGATATCTAACAGGTAGACCTGTTTAGCTCCAAATACCTTTGCAACAGGTCCGTTTTCTTGAACTCCACCGTTTGCAATCCGAGTCCTTCAATGGATCCTTGGGCAAACCAAGTTGCCTAATGAGCCTGGGTTTTGGCTGACTGAGGACAAATGCAGTTTTGTGGAATCAACAAAAACTTTAAAATCAGATCGAATACCCCTCCTGCAATATGCAGGCTTCTCTTACTTTCAGCCTCTCAAAATTGCCGGTAGGTTGCAAATAAAACTTGCGAAAGAAAGAAGAAAGAACGTAGCATGTTGCGTACCGCTGTCGAAAGATGTAAAACTTGCACTTGGATCTTGCTGCTTAGGTGCTCATGAGCTTCAAGGAAACTTAATTTGTCCTTCTCCCTGCGCAAAGAAGCGTAGCAATTGGATATACGCATATATTCGCCATGAAGGGTATGGTCGAGGCACAAACCACAACATATTGAATCTGATGCAATTTGTTCCAGTAAATCATGACTGAAGTCTTTTTGCATCCAATCCAGGGGATGTGACTTGGCTTGGACAATCCTTCCAGTTGGTGCCTCTCTTTCAGGTGCGCCTGCCCCACAGTGCTAACAGCCTGACGGATGGTGGGGGGCGTTTAATGATCAGCTGGTGACCCGTGGGGGGGAGGGGTTCGGTACAAAATCACCGGTTCAATATGGTTCAATGGTTCATAATGGTTCATCTTCGCAAAGCCCCGGATGGTTCTTAAAGGTATTCTTGGAATGACAGTTTCAAAAGTGTTCCGTAGTGCAACTAGGAATAATACATCTTCAAGTCAAGCAAACTTTGAACTGTTTTGGAGGAACTGGCAATCAGTGCCACAGCACTACAACTTCTCAACCTGAGGCGGTTCGAAACTGCAGTGAATTACTGGTTGGTTTTTTGCGCTGAGCTATGCACCGTCCCGTTACTCCTCAAGCTTCATGATTTCTGCATCCCGGCATCCCTGAAAATTGGGTACCCCAAAAATCTGGTGTCGATTGAGCCCCCTTGCATCTCCAGTATGGCGTTTGTCTGATATTTTGAGGATTTGTGGGCCCATTTTCAGATGATTCATATTGTGGGCCCACTAAAATCCCCAGTAAATCTCCCCATTGCCCCATTGATGGTTGATTGCAGCCACACCTCCTGCACGGACTGTTGCACTCTCGTGACATCTGCCAGCACTGCCAAGACTTCACCCTGCCCAGAGATGTTTTGAGGTCACAACAAACTGGGTTTGACAAGTCTTCTCAAGGAGGAAAACAATGATTTTGATCCTGTAAATCCCTTGTTGGGACAATATCATATCCAAACCATGTTCAACTTTCGATGGGGATGTCCAGACAAAATCAGTGGAAAGAAGCACCCAATTTTTGGCTGCTATATATCTGGGTAAATTATAATAATTCACTAACCTGAAATAAGGCCATTTGGGGATGATTCCCCTTACTAACCATGATTCCAGTGAGGTCGCAGTGAGGTCGTTATAATTTACCCAGATATGTATGTATATATATATATATACACGTAACATATTACGTAAGTATAATTGTCAACACACTATGTGCATCTTGGTTGTGGCCTTCGTCCAAGTGTCGTCAACGTCCTGGACAGTCGCTGAAAAACAATGGCAGCTGAAGAGGATACACTGGGTTCAAGGTGTGACTGGCATCCGGCCAACGCGTTGTCCAGGCCTTTCGCAAGGCGCGTCGTGCTTGCAACCAAGCAAGCTTGGCTTCCTGGAGCGTCGGTTCCAATGAGAAGGCCTCAGCCGCCATCTTGATCCGATCAAGCTGTTGGCTAGGATGATGAGAGGTAATTAAACATGAAATGGCAGGACATAGTGTTTAAATGTATATAATAAACATCAGCAAACATAGAAGATAAAAACATCTTGACCAAATGGATAACTAACGAAACATTTTCTCAATTGAAGGGAATCGTCCGATACCCCATTCATCGATTTCCCCATCAAGAATAGAACATCTCTGTATATCCGATCGTATATCCCTATGATATTCCTAAATCTATATAATGTATAATATTCACCCCGCTTCGCGTGGGATGGCCGCCCACACCGCAGGTTTATTTCGGTCCGTGAGAGGGGCTAAGGGTGGTTTTCCCGTGGGGGCTCCCCAAGCTAAGAATTTTAACTTTCCCCCCCCCGTGGGGGCTCCCCAAGCTAGGGAATTTTCACTTTCCCCCCCCGTGGGGGCTCCCCAAGCTAGGGAATTTTCACTTTTCCCCCCCGTGGGGCCCCGTGGGGGCTCCCCAAGCTAGGGAATTTTCACTTTTCCCCCCCGTGGGGGCTCCCCAAGCTAGGGAATTTTCACTTTTCCCCCCCCTGGGGGCTCCCCAAGCTAGGGAATTTTCACTTTTCCCCCCCGTGGGGGCTTCCCAAGCTAGGGAATTTTCACTTTTCCCCGCCGTGACAGCTTCCCAAGCTATGGAATTTTCACTTTTCCCTCCCTTGGAGGCTCTCCAAGCTGCGGAATTTCAAATAGCTAGACAACGACGCCTAGATAGTCCCCCAAATCCCGTGTTCTTTGAATGTGTTTCCATGTTTTTGCAATGGTTTCCTTCAAAGCACGGTACTTTTACACTTTTGTCGCCATAAAACCGGTCGAAAACATCATGTTCGACAATGCTTCCAATTCCCTTATCTCCCCAACCGTTGAAAATACCGCTATTTACAGTGTTTTCTTCAATTTTTCCATGTTCCAATGCCGGTAGCCAACTCCAACATATATATAAGAAATCCTTCCAAAACATTGTTTTTGACAGTGTTTTTCCAATGTTTCCAGTCAAACAGATGGTAATTTACACGTTTTGTGCCATAAAGGCAGTAAATCCTTCCAAGACATTGCTTTTGACAGTGTTTTTGTAATGTTTCCAGTCAAGCATACGGTAATTTACACGTTTTTTGCTATCACGTCAGTCCAAAACACTTGTTTTTGCAGTGTTTTCAATGCTCTGGCATCCAAAAACCCTGCAAAATCTTGCTATGTACAATGTTTTTTTTCATTTTTGGCCGTTTTTCCATTGCCGGAAAGCTACCAAAAGGACCCAAAATTCCATTTCAATACCCTCTTGCGCTCAGACACCCAAAAATCCTCGAAAAATGTCGAAAACACCACCGTATTCTGGTCTCGGTGCGAAACCGTTTTTGGGCCCCCCCCCCCCAGCTAAAGCTGATATAGCGACTGCTATATTAACAAATGTCATTGAGCATTTAGTGTTGCTGTTTTGCCCCCCAATAAGCACGCCTTCACCGCCAAAGCGGTGTGGGCGGATATATATATATATATATATATACGTATTAATTATATCTTATTATATACCCATTAACCCCACTTTCCCAAGGAATTTCACTGTCCATCCCATTTGGTTTGCCCGGCTTTGGCGAAGTCTTCAATGGCCTCAGCGCCCTTGCGGCAACTGCCACGTAAGAAGAGTGCCTGCCGAGGCGTTACAAAGAGCAACAAAGCTTTGTTGAGGTTCATGGGTATATAAGAGTTATAATATATATATATATAATATATATATATATAAAATATATATAATAATATATATATATATACATACGGTATATTATATTGTTATATATATATACGGGTAAATTATAATATTTCACTAACCTGAATTAGGGCCATTTGGGGATGATTCCCCTCATAAACCATGATTCCCAGTAAGGTCGCAGTGAGGTCGTTATAATTTACCCATATATACATAATTATAGGAATATACCGCTTCACACCACAATCTGTTCTGGTCGTTGTTTACAAATTCCATCAGCAGTGCAGCTGATAGGTGTGTTGACTGAAACTAGGGTACGGATTGGGTACGGTTTCCCTGAGACTAGGGTACCCCAAAAGCTCACTTTCCCCGATACTTGTCGGGGTTTAAACGACAATAATTTGTCACATGTTTAGACTAATTTCATGTAAATTTCAGAGTTGTGATATAAGCAAACTCAAGTCATATGTTTGGTTGTATAACATAATTACCCCTGATATTTACCCATGACTCTCATTCAATATTGTGTATATATAAATTAATACTCATAAAGTTATCCCTGTTATCCCTGATGAAAAATGCCCTTATTGGAATCTCAAGCTTCACCTTCACATTGGAAGGCTCAAGCTTCAGCGCCGCGGATGCAGACTCAGCAGCTGGTGCAAGGCCTCGGTGGCCCAGAATGGATGTCAACGGGTTATCAATAGCCTAATCAATAGCCAGGCTTTGTGGATGGATATATCATGATATATCTATTATAGTTAATGGTTAAGTTCATGGGGGTTAAGTTCATATTTGGGGAAACCACGGACGTTGGAATGTTTGGTACTGTAGGAAACATCGAGTAGTTACCATCAAATACCATCAAATTATATACATCAGAGAAGTAAACACCAAGTGGAACATATTAGAAGCAATATAAAATTTGGCATTGGACATGACATGATTGGAAGATACTGGACGTGTTTTTTATTGAAGTAAAACAGCCGAATTTGGGATTGGAAAGAGACTGTGAATCCCTTGACTGCAACGCCGCAACGGAAAGACTCACTGCAGGGAGACTGCAAGATGGACTGAGCGCCCAACAACCCTGCTTCTTCTGGCAGAGTGCAAGATTCCTAAGGAGAATCTTTCAACAAAACAAAACAACGATCATTTGGGCCAGGGGAAAATGATGAAAAGATATAGACCCCGCGAATTCTACTGAATTCGTTGCCTTTTCTTGTGTGAATCTGTGCTTTGCGTCACATGTTACCACCTGTTCCTGGGCTAGGTGCATTCAGGCTACTCGATTGCATCAGCTTTGGTTCGTCAATTACACGCTTCTGAATAAACAAACATAACAAACATATGTGTTTACAGAGTTTTGCTCTGTATATTAATATAATATACAGTAAATATAGTTGTAACTATTGTTATCCGCCGACCCCGCCTTAGCCAAGGCAGGGGCGGCGCCTGGGACCACCGCAGGTGTGGAACTTTTTTTCGTTCCCAATGCTTTGCACTTTCCACGAGCCACCCAGGCCATAGCACCCTCTGTTCACCGCCCAGGAGCCACTCAGGCCACAGCAATTTCTGTGCACTTCCCACGAGCCACTCATGCCACAGCAATCTCTGTTTCTACGGCGTTCCAAAACGCAACAGGCCGCGGCAGACCCTGTGCAGTTCCAACAAGTCCCTGAGGCCGTGGCATTAAAGAGGTTCAAGGCTGCCGTTTGCCAGCCTTCAAAACTCCCCAAGCCCTTCCCTGCAGCTCCCAGGCGCCACTCAGGCCGCGGCAGACCTTTCCTGCAGCTCCAACAAGTCCCTGAGGCCGTGGCAGTGTCCTTTTAAGGACGTTCAAGGCTGCCGTTTGCCAGCCCGCAAAACTCGCCAAACCCTCCCCTGCAGCTCCCAGGCGCCACTCAGGCCGCGGCAGACCTTTCCTGCAGCTCCAACAAGTCCCTGAGGCCCTGCCAGTGTCCTTTTAAGGAGGTTCAAGGCTGCCGTTTGCCAGCCCGCAAAACTCTCCAAACCCTCCCCTGCAGCTCCCAGGCGCCACTTAGGCCGCGGCAGACCTTTCCTGCAGCTCCAACAAGTCCCTGAGGCCCTGGCAGTGTCCTTTTAAGGAGGTTCAAGGCTGCCGTTTGCCAGCCCGCAAAACTCGCCAAACCCTCCCCTGCAGCTCCCAGGCGCCACTCAGGCCGCGGCAGACCTTTCCTGCAGCTCTAACAAGTCCCTGAGGCCGCAGCGTCTTTTTATGGACGTTCAAGGCTGCCGTTTGCCAGCCCGCAAAACTCCCCAAACCCTCCCCTGCAGCTCCCAGGCGCCACTCAGGCCGCGGCAGACCTTTCCTGCAGCTCCAACAAGTCCCTGAGGCCCTGGCAGTGTCCTTTTAAGGACGTTCAAGGCTGCCGTTTGCCAGCCCGCAAAACTCGCCCAACCCTCCCCTGCAGCTCCCAGGCGCCACTCAGGCCGCGGCAGACCTTTCCTGCAGCTCCAACAAGTCCCTGAGGCCCTGGCAGTGTCCTTTTAAGGACGTTCAAGGCTGCCGTTTGCCAGCCCGCAAAACTTCCAAACACTCCCCTGCAGCTCCCAGGCGCCACTCAGGCCGCGGCAGACCTTTCCTGCAGCTCCAACAAGTCCCTGAGGCCCTGGCAGTGTCCTTTTAAGGACGTTCAAGGCTGCCGTTTGCCAGCCCGCAAAACTCGCCAAACCCTCCCCTGCAGCCCCCAGGCGCCACTCAGGCCGCGGCAGACCTTTCCTGCAGCTCCAACAAGTCCCTGAGGCCCTGGCAGTGTCCTTTTAAGGAGTTCAAGGCTGCCGTTTGCCAGCGTTCAAAACTCGCCAAACCCTCCCCTGCAGCTCCCAGGCGCCACTCAGGCCGCGGCAGACCTTTCCTGCAGCTCCAACAAGTCCCTGAGGCCCTGGCAGTGTCCTTTTAAGGACGTTCAAGGCTGGCCGTTTGCCAGCCCGCAAAACTCGCCAAACCCTCCCCTGGCGCTCCCAGGCGCCACTCAGATGCCGCGGCAGACCCTTTCCTTCCTGCAGCTCTAACAAGTCCCTGAGGCCCTGGCAGCGTCTTTTTATGGACGTTCAAGGCTGCCGTTTGCCAGCCCGCAAAACTCCCCAAACCCTCCCCTGCAGCTCCCAGGCGCCACTCAGGCCGCGGCAGACCTTTCCTGCAGCTCCAACAAGTCCCTGAGGCCCTGGCAGTGTCTTTTTAAGGACGTTCAAGGCTGCCGTTTGCCAGCCCGCAAAACTCGCCAAACCCTCCCCTGCAGCTCCCAGGCGCCACTCAGGCCGCGGCAGACCTTTCCTGCAGCTCCAACAAGTCCCTGAGGCCGTGGCAGTGTCCTTTTAAGGACGTTCAAGGCTGCTCCAAACCCTCCCCTGCAGCTCCCAGGCGCAACTCAGGCCGCGGCAGACCTTTCCTGCAGCTCCAACAAGTCCCTGAGGCCGTGGCAGTGTCCTTTTAAGGAGTTCAAGGCTGCCGTTTGCCAGCCTTCAAAACTCGCCAAACCCTCCCCTGCAGCTCCCAGGCGCCACTCAGGCCGCGGCAGACCATTCCTGCAGCTCCAACAAGTCCCTGAGGCCCTGGCAGTGTCCTTTTAAGGACGTTCAAGGCTGCCGTTTGCCAGCCCGCAAAACTCGCCAAACCCTCCCCTGCAGCTCCCAGGCGCCACTCAGGCCGCGGCAGACCTTTCCTGCAGCTCCAACAAGTCCCTTGAGGCCCTGGCAGTGTCCTTTTAAGGACGTTCAAGGCTGCCGTTTGCCAGCCCGCAAAACTCGCCAAACCCTCCCCTGCAGCTCCCAGGTGCCACTCAGGCCGCGGCAGACCTTTCCTGCAGCTCCAACAAGTCCCTGAGGCCCTGGCAGCGTCTTTTTATGGACGTTCAAGGCTGCCGTTTGCCAGCCCGCAAAACTCGCCAAACCCTCCCCTGCAGCTCCCAGGCGCCACTCAGGCCGCGGCAGACCTTTCCTGCAGCTCCAACAAGTCCCTGAGGCCCTGGCAGTGTCCTTTTAAGGACGTTCAAGGCTGCCGTTTGCCAGCCCTCAAAACTCCCCAAACCCTCCCCTGCAGCTCCCAGGCGCCACTCAGGCCGCGGCAGACCTTTCCTGCAGCTCCAACAAGTCCCTGAGGCCGTGGCAGCGTCTTTTTATGGACGTTCAAGGCTGCCGTTTGCCAGCCCGCAAAACTCCCCAAACCCTCCCCTGCAGCTCCCACGCGCCACTCAGGCCGCGGCAGACCTTTCCTGCAGCTCCAACAAGTCCCTGAGGCCGTGGCAGTGTCCTTTTAAGGAGGTTCAAGGCTGCCGTTTGCCAGCCTTCAAAACTCCTCAAACCCTCCCCTGCAGCTCCCAGGCGCCACTCAGGCCGCGGCAGACCTTTCCTGCAGCTCCAACAAGTTCCTGAGGCCGTGGCAGTGTCCTTTTACGGAGGTCCCAGGCTGCCGTTTGCCAGCCTTCAAAACTCGCCAAAACTCGACAAACCCTCCCCTGCAGCTCCCAGGCGCCACTTAGGCCGCGGCAGACCTTTCCTGCAGCTCCAACAAGTCCCTGAGGCCCTGGCAGTGTCCTTTTAAGGAGATTCAAGGCTGCCGTTTGCCAACCCTCAAAACTCCCCAAACCCTCCCCTGCAGCTCCCAGGCGCCACTCAGGCCGCGGCAGACCTTTCCTGCAGCTCCAACAAGTCCCTGAGGCCGTGGCAGTGTCCTTTTAAGGAGGTTCAAGGCTGCCGTTTGCCAGCCTTCAAAACTCCTCAAACCCTCCCCTGCAGCTCCCAAGCGCCACTTAGGCCGCGGCAGACCTTTCCTGCAGCTCCAACAAGTCCCTGAGGCCCTGCCAGTGTCCTTTTAAGGAGGTTCAAGGCTGCCGTTTGCCAGCCCGCAAAACTCTCCAAACCCTCCCCTGCAGCTCCCAGGCGCCACTTAGGCCGCGGCAGACCTTTCCTGCAGCTCCAACAAGTCCCTGAGGCCCTGGCAGTGTCCTTTTAAGGAGGCTCTTATTTCTTTTTTGTTTTCGTTGTCTTTTTCTCGGGAACGTGCCACTGCTTGTTGTGACATGGTTTTCCCGATGGCATGTCATGCTTGACAGCAATGCGGCCACATGACAGCGATGACCAAACAACAGTAGAGCAGACCGGGCAACTGTGCGCATGACGCCGTGTCTGCTTGCTGACTTCACCGTCCTTGACGTAAAATTGATTGTTGCACACAGATCGATGGTCGATTCGCCCTGTCTTCACGTTGCTGTTCACAAGTCCATTGCAAAATGGGCACTGGTAAACAAAACTTTTTTTTGCGACAACGCCGTCCCGTACCGATAATTCGTACCCACAGACACCCCGATGGTTGATTTTCCCTGTCTTCACATTGCTGTTCACAAGGCCCTTGCAAAATGGACATGTGTAAACAACAGATTTCTCTGCCACAACACCGTCTTTCACTTGGAATCGCTTCCCGCAGGTTCGCCGATGATCTACTTCCCCTGTGCATATTCTGCTGATCACTGACTGCGCGCAAGCAGGACAGACATATTTGAAACTCTGTCCCCTCTGCGTTGCTTGTCGTTTCTTTGCCGGCAAAGTCTCCTCCTTGCTGGGCTTGCTGCCTTCCTGCCTTTTACCTGCTTGCAAGGCTCTCTGCTTTTCTTCGGCGTTTCCTGTCTCGTCTTTGCGTTGTTTTTCTTTTGGTTCTCCTTCTTGTGTTCTGGCCTCCTCCACTTCTCTTCTCCGTTTTTGTTCTGTGCTGGCATCCTCGGCATTCGCACTGGTCATTTCTGCCCTTTCGTCTTCTCTCCGTTGTTTTGCCTCCGGCTTTGTCTCGTGCGTTCGCGTGCCCTCCTCTTCTCTCTTCCGTTTTCTTTCCGCGATGGCAGCCCAGACATCGGCGATGGCGCGTGCCTTTGTTTCTTCCGCTGCCCTCCGCGCGACTTTCGCCTGCGTTGCCGCTACCCGCTGTACTGCTTTGCTGATGCTTCCCCGGGGAATGGGGCACTGCCAGCAGTTGCTACAGACTTGGTCACCATTACAAGAACGATGTTGCGCCAGCCAAGATTCAAAAGCGCACGCTGCTTGCTTTACCTTGCAGACGCTGCATCTCCACCAGCCCCATGCTTTACCCGAACAATCTAAACACACTCTACCGCCCCTGCGTGCTCGTTTCCAGGCCCCGACAGAAAATTTCTTTTCGTCCTTGCGCGTATTGCAAACACTACACACTTGTGTCTGTTCGCACGTCTTACACATACGATAAAATGTGGCTTGTGGCCTTGCATGTTCTGTCTTGAATGCATCTTCCTGTTTCCACGCCGTGCAGGCCATGCATTGCCACGGCTGCTGCGCCTCAACGTGCCTACGAATGCATTCCTTGCATACTCTCGCCGCATCTGCTCGTTTCCATCGACCCGCCGTGAATGCAGACGCCGGCTTTGCTTCATTACATTCTTTGCATTGTCTTTCGTCTCGGTATTTCGCTCGCAGCGCCCTCCAATCCATTTTTTCACCACCCCAGAACCGCAACAGCAATTCCCGCCCTACTTTTGCCCCTTTTTGAAATGGTGCTGCAGGGAACGGTCGGTACACAAACAAACCATACCTGTCTTGGACTCGCGTTAATGCA